TGTGTGTGTGTGTGTGTGTGTGTGTGTGTGTGTGTGTGTGTGTGTACACCGTAATTAGTTCAGCACAGCTAACGCCATCTCTCTTAGAAAGACTGACAGGTGACAGGAGATAACAGAGTTATGACAGGAAGTGGATGCTCATTGTCACATCTCTCATTAAACTGACTGAAAAACAGAGGCACAGAGGCTATTTTTACCATCTGTCGGACATTAAAAAAAAAAATTTTTTAAACTTCCTCCTTTTTTGGAAATCTAAGGGTGAGATGATGAACTACATTGGACCACAAACCTCTAAATCTGTCAAGTGGAAAGAACTGCTAAGCAACCTGTGGCGTTTTTGATCGTTACTATCACACTTGGTGCAGGTTTCTCTCTAGTGCACTGATTGAAAGTTGGTAGGCGTGAAGCACGAGGCGCAGTAGCAGCATTGGTCGAATGATGGAGAAGGAGGCGGCAAATGGATATGTTTTATGAAAAAGAAAACGCATTAAACCCCTGTCAAAATTCAAGGCTGCAATAATAAATCTCTCCTAAATCATCTTGTTATAAATTCACATTAACTAAAAAGGACATTACAATAAAAAAAACAGCTATTTTCTGACACATTCAGTCTCCCAAATGGCCAGTTTGGACGCATCCTCAGTGCCACAGAAATAATAACTCCCCGTGCGTCTATTGACGCAGGACAGTTGTCACATTTACTCTCTCTTACACACACACAGACAGACAATGAGTTGCTTTGTGTAATGTATGAAGCCTACCTTGTAAAGGGAGATCGAGTCCTGCCTGCATCCTGTCATGGAGGGAGCCTCCTGCCATCGCTTTGGCATTCTTTCTCTCTGTCATTATCTGGAGGAGAGGCAGGGAGGGTTAGAGAGGGAAGCAAAAAGAAGATACAGAAGTATGAGGAAATGGCATGTAAAAGAAAAAAAGCCAAGGTGATATGCCGTGACAGAGACACAGGGGAGGAGAGCGAAGAGACAAAGCCGAAAAACAACAGAACGTGTGACAGTGCAGGAGGATGGGTGAGAGAGGGAGATGAAAGCATAAACACGAAAACCTGGAAATGCTTCACCCTTGATACTGTCATGCTGTCTTCTCATTTCACCTGAAGAGCACAGAAGTGCACTCACACAGACACACACACACACAAATTAAGCAAGTCACACTCCTCTCTCCAACACAGAGTGATAGCTTTTTCTCCCGAGCAACACACACACGATGCTCACGAAGCAAGTAAACTGCTTCACCCATTGCTTTCACAAACCCCACTTAAAAACACCAAACGTATGTTGTTGGGTTTTATTATATGCTGGATTAACAGGGTTCTTACGCATTTTTCAGGTACTTTTTAAGCACTTTCAAAGTCCATTTTCAAGCTTTTCCAGCACATTACCAAAAAGAAAAAAAAGAATGTATGTTTCACTTTGCATCACCTCAGTAAGACCATGTAAAAAATTAAAACAAATAATCTCAGGTTGACTTAAACGTCCTTTGTTCCCCTTTTGTAAAAACAGAGAAAAATGCACCACACAAAAATACTGAATAAGGAAATGGTTGTCTTATATGCGTATAGTGCACAAACTCAAAAAAGACATCAAGTTGTTAGGAAAAACAACAACACTTGAAAAAAACAACAACCTCACAAAACAAGAAAACTGCACCAAACGCCACAATAATACACAGCGATTGTAATTGCAGAGAAATACTACATTTATTTTGGTCATTTCATTTTCGAGCAAGAAGCTCACCCTTTTTGAACGGAAAGACAAAACAAGTGAACTGGAAGGAGAAAAGGAAAAACTGGAAAAACAATGCTCACAGATGCAGAAAAGGATCGATCAAATGGCGAGAAACAACTCAGACCTCATTAAGGGAATGTTGTTGGAATTCAATAACTATAAGCGTAAAAACACTGAAATGCAGGCACAAAAGCAACAAGACAAAATACATGAAGCCCTGCAGCGCACACTCCAAGAAATCCAGAGTAGAAATACGCAGTTAGAAGACAAGCACAAAGAAGTACAACAGAGAAATGCAGACACGCACAAGGACAAGCTAATACAGGAGGCAACATCCAAACAACTCAAAGACAAGCTTGAAGAAAAACAAGCAACATTAGAAGAGGTGGAACAAAGATGCAACAAACTTGAGAAGCGAAACAGCGAAACAATCGATGAGTTGAGAACCCTCATCCTGGAGAAAAAAGCGCTCGTGGAAAAGTGCATGAAAAAGAAGAAAAAATGCTTCCGCTTGTTCTGGAGGAGGGACACTACTGCTTCCTCACCTGATGCAGCCTCGTCTTGCTCCACCTCTGTTCACCCCCCAACCAGTCCCGGCAGTTGACTGCCCCCTCCTGAGCCTGGTGCTGCCGGAGGTTTCTGCCTGTTTAAAGGCAGTTTTTTCTCCCCACTGTTGCCTAGTGCTTGCTCAGAGGGGATTGTTGGGGTTTTCTCTCCTCTAACTTTTTTCCTGATTTACTTGTTAACTTTTCGTTCTTACCTCGTTTTACCTTGTTTCTTTATTTACTTGTTTAACTTTTTCTTTATTGACTTTCTTGTTTAACTTTTTTTTTAAAACTTATGTAACAAAATAATAAACCAATTGCATTTATCCTTTGAGTATTTTTCATCTAATCTTGACAGAATTTTTCCAAAACATTTTCAAACATTCAGATCTGTCTTTTATTTTCTTCTAAATGATGAACTAAAAACTCTGGAACAAGGTTTGAAACACTGAAACCGGCAAAGTCATACGTGTGTGTGTGTGTGTGTGTGTGTGTGTGTGTGTGTGTGTGTGTGTGTCTCACAGGGGACACTGTGTCACTAGTTAGGTCATCATGTTTGGGCTCATTCACGCCAAAATTATTTAGGCCAAATCTTTAAAACTGTGTCATTGCATACACATTTTCAATTCATTCAATTGCACAAATGCAGAAATTATTATTTGCAGTATCTTATCTGATTTATTGTGAGAATGTCATGCCTGATCATTTGCACCCACACCACCAAAAATGGGGGCAAAAGCGTTTAATCGTTTATAAGAAGAGGTCAGAAATATAAGTGCTGACATCAGTAGTGTCCACAGGAACCTCTGAATCTCAGCTAAAAGCTCATGTAAACCATTTCTACAACCACTAAACAAAGCAAAGACACCAAACAGTTAAAAGAGCAGTTACCTCACCATGAATCTGTGGACAGGTAAGATCCATCTTTTGATTTATGATTTTCTGGACTTAAATGTGAACCGAACCATTTTTTTAAAGGTGTTATATGCTATAAAATACTTTTAAATAAATTAGGTGAGGAAAATTAAAGATCCAATTCTTCTATGTTTGAGTCACAGTAACTTAGAGTTACTACAGTTTCAAGCACCACATCTGACATTCAAGCCCTTTTCAAACCTTGAAAGGACAATATTACAATTCAAGCGTTTTCAAGGATTTCAAGCACCCATACAAACCCTGGATTAAAGACTTTAATCAAAATAAATCTTTATTAGCAACCAATGCTTCTTTTCTTATCAGTTTTCTATAAAACAGACTGACTAGTGGGAAAATAAAATGTTGTTAGATGTTGTTAGATCGGGTGTGACGAATATGGAGGGGGAGGAATGGCTCCTCTACATTTTCAGCTAAAAACACTTCAGAGGCAAGAATTAGTTAAACCTTCTGAAAAATAAAATATTTTCATCTCGACTGCATATAAATGAAGAAATCATTCAAAGGTCTTTTCAGATGCTGAATATAAAGTTCGCCTTTTAATGAGGACAGTCCATTAACTAAACGTTCAAAGCAGACAAACACGCAGTCTGAATACTGTCCTTTCAGCCCTGTTTGAATTCACCTGTATTCATCAAACAGAGCAGAGAAAGCTCGCTGGTAACTGTGTTTGGGAGTGTGCTTTGACTGTGTGATGGATGTTAAATAAGATAAAGCACTGCAGCATTTCTTCAGCACCGTTACTACAGATGAATGTTTTTGCATTTTTGCTTTATGGGTTTTAAGATGAGCTTGCGTGCTGAATCATTTTGTGCTTTTAAAAACATAATAAAAAAAATTAAAATCCATTAACACTACATTTTCTTCTCCGTGAGCCTTTATGTTGAGTGGGAGGGAAAACATTTGTCCAACTAGTTGGCTAGCTTCATCACATCCGTCTGCCAAAATCCCAAAGTTGAGGTTCCACACACATCCTGTGTGTGGAACCTCCTCCGGCCTGAACAACTCACCCGGGAGCAGATCTCGTGCAGGCTGGTGGCGATGGCTTTGGCTGGTGTGTCACAGCGGAACACATGACATTTCAGGATCCTGGTGTTTTTATCCCTCGCCACATATGCAAAGTCCCTGAGAAGAGGAAAACACAGAGTTGCTTTACAAAAAAACAAAACAAACACACATTCACAAATGGAGATGAGGTTTGCTGGACGAGTTTGGTGCTACTTGGAGAAATTTTAAAACAAAAATGTGTGTGTGTCTACTTTTGAGACTGACAGGTCTTGGAGACAGATGAGAGATGAAGTGACCTTTTGTAGCGGGATGAATATAGGACGGACACATGCACACACACGCAGAGACGACAATGGACCCCAAAGATCAATAGAGCAGCGTGATGCAAGAGGGAGTTGAATAGAGTAACAGCAGGAAAGAACTTTCCCCTGGGCCCACTGGAGCCGAAAACAATTTAACTCAGCTGAACAGAAGGAACGAAGAATAAAAAGGAGGAGGGAAAGAGATGGGATGGAGACACAGGATACTTTAAAAAGAAACATAACTGCAGCAAATTAAACCAGCGCATCACACACACACAGACACACACAAAGACATAAGCCAATGTAAATAACTCCCTTCAGGCTATGTTTCAATATGAGATGTAATAGTCAAACAAGGCCTGAGGGTTAACAGGATTCCTGGACGCAGATTCTCAGGGACGTTCTCCACGAGACATTCCTATTTACGTGTGTGTGTGTGTGTGTGTGTGTGAGAGAAACAAAGTAAAAGAAAAATACTTGTAGACAGACAAGGACAGGGGATGTGACCTTCATTTCCTCCATGTCTGAATGCATGCATGCAGTGGTACAGAGTACATCAAGAGCCACTTTCAAGATGAGACAAAATGAGACGGAGAGAGGAAATTAAACAATAAAATGATGTAGAGGTACTCTACAGGAGGAGTGCTGCAGACTGAAAAGGAAGGAAGGAATGCGTTTACCTCTCTCTGTATCCAAGGAAGCAAAGAAGGAAAGGAAGACAGGTTAGTGGGAGGGAAAAAAAGGGGGAGAGAAAAAAAATCCATCGCACCAGTGAGCGTTATTGCCGGGTGACAAAAGGTTGCAAAGAGATCCACTTTCACATAGAAAATTAACCTTGAGTGACATATTCACTTCTCCTGCCGTCTCCTTCTCTCCAACAGAGTTTTAGTGGCGGTACGGTAAAATGCACGTATATATGCACACAGATCTCAGCAGCACTGCAGGTGATCTTAAATGCAGAAGTACTCTGAACTAAAAAATATATATGGAATATAAAGGAAAAGAGAGAAAATGGATGAAGAGAGGGACTCGGGGGGGCGGAGAAGTCAGGTTGGGTACAGTTAGCCTGCTGAAGGCTTGCATATCCTTAAAAGACATAACGAAAGAAGCTTTTTTTAAAGCCACATAAAAAATAAACTAAAAAATTTAAAAAATCTAGAGCAAGAGAGTGGGTGACTCGAAAAAGGAAGGAGAGAAAATTGGAAGTGAATTGTAACAATGTACAAGATAAAGATAAAAGCCTAAAGACGAGAGCAGAATAAAAGACCCCGAGATGAGAAGAACATAAAAGTCAAAGGAGGGGGGGGGGGGAGAAGAAGGATTGGAGAGAGAGGGGGCGGGAGAGAGAGTGGGAATGATATCTCATTTCTAATATAATCTTATCATCATGCCAACGCCCCTGAAAATGTCAAGGTTGCTGTGAGGATGTGTAATCGGTGGTGATAATGAGTTTCGCAGCACATGAAGAGAGGGCTCTGGGGGCTATGGTTCCTGTGCTGACACAACCACTTCACAGGGGTGTGTGACACAGAGAGAGGCAGAGAGAGGGGAAAATCCCAGTTCTGTGCAGGTTTCAATACAATCCACATGCTCACAGACCGTGACTCGTACAAACAAAAGAAAAACTGGGCTTAAAAAAAAACAACAACAAAAAACAACTTGCACAAACTTACACCAGCATGTAGTCGTTAATTTAAAATCTAAACTGGAGTTAATTTTTGCTGACACACTGAAAAAATTCTTATCTTGCATTTTTAATCGTAGACAAACACGAATTACACTGTTTGGAGCTTCTTGCTGTTTTTAAAAAATCCATTTTAACACGAAATAAAAGCTTCTTAATTAAACTTCTGCACATAAACAGACCCTAAAGAGACGAGCCTCACCTGTAATCACCTCCATTACATGTCAGAAGGGCTCTTTTGAAAGAGCGTGAGAGTAAACAAGTATTTTTCCTTAAAAAAAAAACAACAAAAAACTGTAGTGATAAGCACCTCCAATTACACACATCTCACAAAAAAGAAAAAAAAAAACTCCCTCCAAAAGGCCTCTAATCTGTGGTTTCTCCTCCTTTTCTTTTTACTTTAAACATAAGAGCAGGAGTGATGCTTCCAAAAGTGAGGATGAGGTGTTTAAATGTACTTACAGGGTCTGTCGTCCTATCCTGACAGGTAATCCTGTGACCGGGAGGCGTATTTACAGACTCACACCATCAATTTCTGGTGATACCGAACTGCACTGCACGCGCGCTCTCCTCAACCTGTCTGCTCCACACCCTGTGAGCACTAACCATGCCTCCCCCTCTGGCAGCCTCATTCCCTTCTCCCTCTCTCCTGCCAGATCCCCCTCCCTCTGACCACCTCCTCTTCTCCTCCTCCCTTTGCTGCAGCCCACTGTTCAGACTATCCAGCCATATGTAGATGTGACAGATCCCAATAAAGTATTTGGACAGGGGGAAAAATTGCTTGTGGTCCATGTGCTGGAGGGATTTTCAGCTTTATTATACAGAATAACATCGACACCTGCGCGATTACGACTGCGTGTTTGTGAATGAAAGAAGAGAGACGGACCCCCAAGGCAACAGGATTGAGAGGTTCTGCATATTCCAAAAAGCTTTTAGCCTCATCCCGTCTCCTGAGTACACTCGTCATCGCACGTGCGCACGTGTGTGTGCAAGCTCGAATTATACAGTAAGCACCAACTGTTTCAGTCCCCAGTCACCCGGCTGTGCCTCATAACCTACATTCTGCAGTGTGCATGCTGCAGCAGTGCACAGCGTCCTCTGCTGGTTGCCCATGGCTTAATTTTAACCTTCATATGCCCAGAAAAAGGCTCCTTTTCTTTTAATATTTATCTCATTCTTACTTCAGGAAGCTCAAACCAAGAAGCTGTCGGGTACAGTGACAGCATGATGTCAGTGAAGCCCAGCCAAGCTGCGGTGAAAGCAAGGGACAGACAGTCAGGTGGGGATTTGGGGTGAAAGAGAATAAAGGCCACTCTCTGTGTCATCCTCGACTTTGTAGTGATGAATTAATCTGACATTAGCTCCCCTTCATCAATCACCAACTCCCCTCTTCTCCACGTTAACTCCGCCACCTGTCTGCTTGCCCTCATTTGTTCCCATGACCTTTCACTGAGCGAGTGTTTGAAATTCGCCATCGACTTATGAGCCGAAGCATTGAAACGCTAAACAACAAAAGGATGCTGACATCAATGAGTCAGGACCCAGATCACCGCTAAATATACAGAAATCTCTCTGAACATTTACATTCCAGGGAATTGATTTTGAGCACAGTGTGAGACGTGCTTTTATACACACTGTAAATTATTCATGGAGACGAGAAAAAGAAAGTCAAATTTAAGGGAAAAATAAAAACAAACAAAAAACCCACTAACCTGCCATTGTCCCGGCCAACGCCCCAAACTCGGATACTCGCGATTGGCTGAGAATGAAGCACGCTGCGGTCCATGGGGTCGACTAGGTTCAACATATTATTCTCCAGCATGAGGTACATGTCCTTCCCCTGGGCACACAAACACACACAAATCCTTCAGAGCTCATCATAAAAATATGCAATCCTTATTTCCTGCAGCGAGAGTCACAGCAAAAATAAAAAAACAAAACAAAACAACAGTCCTTTAAATGCCAGCAGCTTTCAGTACAACTGTTGCATATATTTATTTATCCGTGTGTACATGTGTGTCCGTGTGAGCTCTCTAGCTTTGAAGGTCTCTAAATAAATTATAAAACCCTAGAAAGAGGGTGCTGGGAGATGAAAGGTTATTAAAAGAGGGATCGAGTCCTCTCTGTCCATTCTGCCGCTTCACATTAAATAAAAGCGCACTGCAGAGACTTGATAGCACTGCTCTACTTCCCCATATTTCAGGAGGCAGTTATCCACGCTAACTGGTGCTGCTCCTTTCTTTCTTTTACGCTTTTCTTCCGATTCATCTTCCTAAGCATTCCCCTCCTCTCCTTCTAAAAGCTGCAAACATGATGCTCTTTATTTTAAACAGGAGAGTCTTCATCACCTCTCCCCAGATGCCAACGGTGTCCCGGATGTCGTTCTTGCAGTAGGACAGCTGTCGGATGCAGTTGTTAACAGCGACGCTGCTCTTTCCAGGAGCCAAGTCCTCCTCGGCCATCTCCACCCAACCCAGAGAGCGCACGGCGAAACACTGAAAGAAATGCACACAACAGATGATCACACCATCATACACAACAAATACAAAGAAAACAAGGAAGTGGAAGAGCATCCAAGATTTGAAGGACTAAAAAAATAAAAATTTCTTTTAGGAATCACGGATCCCTTGGCAGCTCCGAACCGTGACACTCACACGTGTTGGGTATATTCTCCTTCCAGCAATCCCATTCCTTATTAATGCCGTTTTGTCACTATGGGGCATAAGGTTTACAAAGTTGTAGAGCTGCCAGCAGCTGGTTTGCTGTTACTTTTTTTTCTTACCTCCTCTCAACACTAGTGCTGAATGTCCTCTATTTGTACAGGACACAGTTTGTCTTTTTCTGGACTGCTCTACATCTTGCATCACTTTAATATATTTTCTAAGCTCCTCTAAGCTTGCTGTAATGGACAATGAATGGTTCACGTGTATAGATCATTCTGTCAGTAAATACGCTGCGCTTGCCTTTAGCAGTTGTGGCTTGTGTGGAAGAGTGAGCAATCCATTAATTGCAGGGTCAGTCTCCTGCCTGTCCACATGTTGATGCAATCTGCTGCTACTCTGTCATACCAGTTGATTTTGAATCAGTGAAAGGAGGGAAAAAGCACTCTGAAGAACAACTGAGACTAAAAGCTATTAAGTGAAGAGCATTAATTTAATTGTGACCATCATGAATAGCAGACAGCATTTTATGAGTATTCGATGCAGAAATCCTGGTAATTCCAAAGGGTCAAATCTTTTTCTTGGAGCTGTGCAACAACTGCGTGGCTCCATAATGAAAGAGTCCGGGTGTTAAACTGAGCTGCCTGCAGTCTGTTTCCCTTTTACAACTGCAGCAGTAAGAGATGCCAGTTCCCTTAATGACAAGGTGACAAAACACAACAGAAATCATGAATAAAATATATAAAAATATACAAAAAAAATGATAGTTTTTTCAGTCTTTGATATTTTGCATTTTAGCTATTTTCAGATATATTTAGAGAGAGTTTAAATGGTTTGTAAATAACTGCACTGGGTTTTTATATTTTAAACAGCATCACAGCTTTTTGGAAAAAAAGTAAAGTAACTTTTTTTGTACACAGACAGCAAGTTTAAAGGTCATATGCCCCTGTTACCTTTAATGGTAGCGTCACTTTGTTTAAAACGACACACTTGAGATTGGAAACTTGTAACCTCTTAAAGATGAAACCAAACAAACAACAGAAAAGGTAAACAGATGAAGAAAACAGAAGAAAGTTAAAGACAAAGAGAGGAGTGAGACCAGTTCCTCTGCTCTCATAAAGTATTCATTTGATTTCTGCAGTCCGTTCAGAAAGCACTCTGCACTCTATATAGGTCAGGGAGGGAGACAGAGGCCGTCACAGTTAAACTGACTCGTGGCAAGTTTGTTCTAACGCAGTCATGTTTCCACTCATGCTAGGCTGAAACTGCTTTAGAGTGAGATCTAATACGTAGTTAACTTCTTCTTTTGTAGGCAGAAAAATGATCACTGCAATCTTAAAAGAGCAATGGCTGATTTGCTTCTCTGTAACATGTGAGCGTGCGAGCGTGTTGCCATATCAAAAGCCTGAGCTGCAGGCATGTGTTTGTGTCTGGTCATCATCACAGTGTCACTGCTGCCTATGGACTGAAGGCTGGGACACCAACCAACCCACTGGGTTTAAGCTCTGATGAGCCAAACACACGTTGAACCTTTTTCAGAACCTTAACAATTAATAATAATATTACTACTACTATTAATAATAATAGTAATAATACCACCACCATCAGGGGAATCAGAAGCAACAGTGGGTACAAAAAAGACCAAATGAGGAAAAAAGTTGGGAACTAAAACAAAATTGAAATCCTCCTACATCTTAGTCTGCTGACAGTTCTCATCTGTGACTGGTTTCATGATGTTACCAAGATGCCTAGCAAGGCTAAAATGGCCCATTTGTTGTATTTATGCACATGTAACACTTTGTAAAAGTATCATATCATTTTCATTTCACTACTGTAAAATCAAATTTAGCAAATCTTTTGATATATCCAATTTATATTGATATTTGTAGGTTCAATATTACATTACAACACATAACTTTACACATGACCTTAAGAAGGGACTAAATGTACTTAAGGCAGTGTATCTTAGGCATGTATCAGTGTGTTTAATTCATGGCAAATTATTAAACAACCAATCACCGGCAAGAAAAGTGCTCATAAAATTAAATCTCTCCTAATTCTTACTTAATACTGCTGGAAGAATTGTGGTCAAAATAATCAAATTTTCTTCTCTCAATCTATCAAAATAAGGGATGATATGTAAAAACTGTCATACAAAAAAACTTATACAGTATATATGATAGTGTGCAAATACCAACATGCATAGGTACATGCATAAATGTAATGAATGTGTACAAGTTTTTGTGCTTTGTTGTCCGTACATTTTGTGGCTGTTGTGGATTGTGTTCATTTATTTTAGTCTCACTGGAATCTGCTGCAGCGTATGACAGAATGCAGTGGGTCTGAGTAACACTGCAATTTAAAATTTAATTTATACCCCAAGGTGACCTTTTGCAAATGAATGCCACCCTCCACACTAGTAAGTTTTACTGAGCCTGAGACTCCTTAAAGGCTTAAATGTCTCATTTGAATTTCTGGTTTGGATGCTTAAAGAGAGTCCACCACTGCACACTTGTATTTTCCTCTTCCACCACTGGGGGGCAAGCTTTCCTTTCTTTCAACAACAGCAGCAGCTCATGAGTGCTGGAAAGCCGAGTGTAACTTTAACCATTTAAAGGATTAGACAAGCAGAGTAAAAGTCTGGAATGACGACCTTTAGACACTGAAAAAATTGAAGTACTTTTATCAAAAGTAGCGTGTTTAGCACTTAAATTCTAAAATGATCTTTTAACCTACTTCATACCATTTTTTTAAAATATAGAGGCAACAGCTACAGAACAACCTCACCTGATTCAGCCTGTCCTGTGTCTAAGACCACACATTATAAAGACATTCGAAGGCCAGTGCGTAATGCTGACCTTTATGTATATGAAGTTTAGAAAAAGGGTTTTACCTTTGCCTCGGGGTCACTGTTAATACTGGTGGATTCTTCTTCTTCTGCTGCTGGACGGCTCCTGAAAATAGTTTAAACATAAGAGAACTATTAGCTGCTTTGTTAGCAAGGTTTCTGTCTGATGTGTGAATTTACAGAAGCTACAACCAGTCGATACACTAGCAGAACATGGACCCTTTTCCTGAAGAGAGGATCTAACTGACTGCTTTGGCTGAACCTGTTACACTTTAATTAAATACAATCTCCAAGAAACAAAGAAGAGAATAAAATACAGGACAATCTGTTTAATAACTGCAGCTCTGGAGGCTTTCAGAGATTCATGCACAGAAGCTGGATGGATTTGTGTGTCTTCTGTATTTTACCTTAGCTTGAGTGACGCGTAGCGAAGCGTAGCACCCTCAAACTCTTTCAGACTGGGGTCCGGGTTCACTGTGGCTGCCTGCAGGTCCTGATGCACATATGTGAAAATCATAGCAAAATAAGCCTCCGTATCCAGCAGGTGTTCCACCCTAAAGCATCTTTTACACATGCAACCTGGAATACTGTATGAGAATATAAACTGATAGTGTCTTCTGTCACTGAAACGCTCTCCTGAATTAAAAAAAACAAAACTGAATGTGCAGTCAGATAAGATTCTGATGAAGACATCCAGATTTAACAACAAGAAGATGAGCTGCCATTATCCTTTTAATGTTAATATGGATGTTCCTTATGGATTCCTACTATTAAAAAAAAAAAAAACATTACTCTATCTTCTCGTGTGGTTGTATTTCTTCCTCAGTCCTCCTAAAAAATAGATTATTTTCACAGGATTGCTGGTCATTTGGCTCCAGCGAGATATGTGGCAATGTCCAAAAATATTACCGCTATAAACTGAAACACCTATGTGTACCCGTCATAAAATTCATGGGGCACAAGCTCCTGTGGTAGAGGCGCTACAAGACACGAAATAGATGTAAATTCTGACCCTTCAGCGTGAATGCCAGCATGCATCCAAGTGTGGAGCGAATGCTGCTGCCGGATGGATAAATGGCATTGGTGTGTTATGTGTAATGGGGCATGCTGCATTCAGAAAGAAAAAGGTTTATGTGGTATGTACACACACTGGTGTGTGTGAATACGCAGTCAGATCTGTGCCACCAGAACAGAAAGATGAAAATATATTACTGGCGTATGTAAAGAAAGAAACAACCTAATGTGTCTTTGGAGTCGAGTAAACAGACATGTTCTTACACATCAGACATGATCAAAGGCTGCGGTTTGTGCAGATATTTTTATGTTAAAGCATCAGCCACACATGCTTTTTGCCCAGGCAGTGAACTTTAGCACAGGATGTATAAATGCACACACTCAAATACCTTGTGAGGTTAGACCAAGAACAAGACTCACTGACACCGAGTGCATTATACTTGCCTTCCACATTTCACTATCAATTTTTCCGCCAAATTCACTCCACACCTGTTTCTATATTTGGCGTTAAGACACAAACACACACACACAGTGGCGGGTCAAGGATTGGGAGTCAAAGGTTGGGTGGAGAGGGGGGCAAGGGGATAAAGACAGAACAATGTTGTTAGCTAACCAGCTTACTCTACACTCAGACGGTGTTGCAATACGGAGCAAAGCAGCAAAACGTTTCCTAAATAAAAGTAAAAGGGCCAAGAAGAGTCCAACGGGACTTTCTGGGTTTTCCCCGATTTGTTTTGCTCCCATTGAACATTCACCTCGCTACTGAGAATCTGTCGATTCTTGATTAGTAGAATGTAAGCGACGCAAACATACAGGACCCGTCAGCAAGTGTTTAGACCGTGACACCATTTCTGTTGTTTTCAAGCTTTACTACAGCACAAAGATACAGTAATTACACTGAAAGTGTGCAAAGAGATGACAAAAAGTAGAAAAAGACATCAATATAACTAAAAAATCATTATAAAAGTTACACTACTAAAAGCTATAATACTAGATGTTATAGTGACTGCAGCTGATGTCCGATGACCATTACACTTGTTTCCAGTCTTTGCCCCTTGAAAGCTTACTAGGAGCTCTCTTCTGAACTGAGGGGTGAGTCTCTGGTTGTCAAATGTTGTCTTTATGGGGGAAAGCATGCTGAAGTACAAGGTTAAATCAGTGTCAGAGTCCAAACACTTATTGACTGCTCTATATATGATACAAGGAGGCAAATACAGTAATATACACGTACGGGTGCAGAAGGAATTATTTACAGAACTAAGAAAAAAGTGAAAAAAGATGCTACAAGTCTGAGGGCAGATTGGGACTCCTACCTTTTCCTCATCTTCGTGACGCTGAGAGCGACACTCTTGATCCACACCCTGCAGAGATGTGGAGCGGGGCTAAAGAGACATCAGAGAGAGAAATGATGAGACTCTGTTTAGTGACATCCTGCTGCACCATGTTGGTCTGTGTGCCATTTTAGCTTTTGTGCAGCTGGGTGATACTCGAGCAGTCTGGAGGTCGATCGCATCAGATGGATGTGCCAGAATCAGATTGAGGCACATCCATCTGTCAACATCAGTCCATTCTCACCGGATCGATATTTTATCTACATGGGGCCGCTCTCTATCCATCTCCTTTCCTCTCTACATTTCCACCCATCATTCTACATGATTGACTGATTGATCGGCTCAGTGTTCTTCTATTCTGCTACCAGACTGGAGTGTTAACAGTGCTCTCACTCCCTTTACCCAGCTGCCTACATTTAAATAAAACTATATTGAAACCCAGACAAATACACTGCGCCGTTTAAAACTGGCACATGGAAGCGTGAAAATAACTCTTGCAAACCGTGATGAACATCACAGACTCCTGTGAAGTACAATGTAACACAAAAACGACGGTGGCTTACAAAGTAACAGCTGTTCACAAATCCACATGTGGGGAGTGTGGGCTCGTGAGTGGACAGAGGCTCCACTGAGCTGTCAGAGGTGGTGCTGCCCGAGCGAGTCGACCCCCTGAAGAAGATCTCAGCCTGGCATGACTGTAAGCACATGGAAACACAGAGGTATTAAAAAAATAAAGACACACTGTTTAATCCATATTTATTGGAGTCAACAATGATTAATGGATTCAAGAAATCCATTTTTTCACAACTTGTTTAGGGAAATGCTCGTCATTTGCAGTTGACAGAATAACTGTCAGCAGCACCGGCTGGTCCTCATGTCAGTTGCATAAATACAAATTGTAAAAATACCTGTTCATAAAAAAATTACAGCAGTGTTAAGTACAAGTCATGTACATATTATTCCCAGAACAGCAGCACAGAGTGCTTAATTCACTTCCAACACAGGTGTTATTACAGTTTTCCTCATAATTATTCTGTGCTGTGTGCGCTTTTGTTGATTTATGCTAATCCAAAGCTCAAAATAAACATTTTCATTTTAACCGCTGTGACATTTCCAGTTTTATTAATGCTTAGCTGTTATTAAGAGTCGAGGAGTTTCATCATCAACTAAATTGCATTGTAGCCAGTAATAGATACACTACCTTCACTGCATTAAAGTTTGACTTTATTACTTTGTTTTTAAATCAAATTGTTTGACTGTATTACTTTCCCTTCATCTCTTCATGTATGCTGTCAGCTGATTGCCTTCGTCAGAATCTATTCTCAACTACAAAAAGAAAGGTGTGCTGTGGTATCTGGCACCAAGATGTTAGCAACACATCCTTTAAGTCCTGTAAGTTGTGTGAGGTGTGGATCGGACTCATTTCTCAAGCAAATCCTACAGATGCTAAATTAGATTGAAATCGGAGGAATTTGAAGGCCGGGTCAACACTTTAGACTCGTTGTTGTGCTCCTCAAACCATCCATAGTGGTCATAATGTGAAGTCTGATCCATGTATTTCTTATAAGCAGCTGAAAGCACAGACCTAAAGTGATGTTTTTCACTTTATTGTAATGTCCCTCACCTCGTGGTCTGGAGTGGGTGAGGGGCTGAGTGAGCCCAGGGAAGGTTTACGTGGTGTTGAGGCTGAGTGGTCACCCAGGGCCGTGGACTCCATCTGTCCAGAGGGTTGTGGATGAGTGGCGGGCCGTTCCCACTGAGTGGTGCCTGTAGGAATGTGCCAGTAGTAGATACCAGCCATGTCTGTAATCTTTTTCCATCCTGGAGGCAGGTCGGGGTCTGTCTGGAATGACTGCTCACTCCAAATATCTGGTAGAAGAAAATTGTGAAAGGATGGATGGAGGGTGTAAGGCCATCATTCTCCTGCTCCGTTTCCCCCAAAACTTCCCGTCTCTGTGGCTGTTTTTGCACCATACAGTTAATTCAAAGTGAACCCACATTGAGCTACGTCAACAGCTGAGCTGGATTTACCGGCATCTGCTGCAGCTGTCCCTTTTAACAAACCATATCTCCATGTGCACAAGAACGCCTGTAAAGCACTTCTGTAGCATTTGTTAAACAAAGCCCTACACACTTTTTAAATGAAAGATATCACACGGGCAAAAAAAAAAAAGAAAAGAAATACCAAACACACAGATATCAGGATTTCTCTCACATCTAAAGCACCTGAGACACTTTCTCAATGAGCGACCCACTCAGTACTTAAAACATATTACAGTTTATTCAGCGTGACACAAATTAGGAATTGTTCTTCACTGGCCCTGGTAATTGTGTTAGCTTCTTCACTGAACCCTGTTTTAGAGAAATGTGCCACTTGATTTCCATGGGTGTGTGATCCGTTGTTCTTCAATTTAACCTTAAACTCCTTGTAGATACCAAATTAGCCTACCTATGGTATCTTGGAGCGTCTAACAGTAGAATGGGAGGCAGAGCCTTCCATTATCAGGCTTGTGGACCGTCTACCAGACATCCTCTTTTCAACTCAAAACTTTCAGGTGACCCCGATCTCTCAGTTATGCTGTTATAGGCTCAGATAGCTTTAGGACTTCCTGTGAGCATTTAAACCATTAAATTGTGTCTCATCTCTCCCATAGTGGTGACGTTTTCCCCTTCACATTTTTATACATTGGAAAGCTATAGGTTAAATATAATCAAAGCAACATAGTAGTTAAACTTCATACACAAAGCTGTTCATTGTTCAATATACAGCCTAATGAAGTGGAAAGAAGAGGGGCAATACTCAGTAACAGTAAAGTGCATAGAATTAAATACTCATGAAACCCTGTGGAGAAGGCAGGATTAGGACCCAGACGCAGGACTCATGAGACAAGAAATGACCTCAAAACAGCTTTAATGGTTGATTCTTCCTTAAAAACCCAAAAAACCCTAAACAAGACAGGAGCCAAGAATACAAATCCAGGACTATAAAGAAGCACACAAAACAAGAGAGCACACAGTATAGGGGACGACAATAAATACACACATGGTAATGAAAGAAAAGGAAACAGGTGGGAAACACAGCAGCAACAAATCAAGAATAACGAGACAGGGGAAGTAAAACTAGAGACAAGAGACAAAAGACTACCAAAGTAAGACAAGAACTAACAGATGGCGACTCACACATGTGAAAATGACAGAAATACCAGAACTATGGACAGAAGACTGAAGAAACAGAATGAGAAGAGAAACAGGGATTAACAAACTAGTGAAGGAACTAAAGACACAGATAACAAGAATTTCATGAGAACCTAAAAAAAGCAGAATTACCATCATAAACAGAAGGCTACAGAGCTTGACAGCTACAGAGCTTAAGGACTTGAACGGGAACACAGAAGTAACGGTATGAAACAACACCAAAGGGAACTCGTATCAGCAATAAGGAAAAAAAGAACCATAAACCCTTAGAAATACCAGAAAGCCAGATTATCAACAATACAGAACAAAGAACTCTAATACACAGAAAACCTTAACATCAAAATCCCAGGTCCAAGACATAAGTAATGTAACACAGACTCCATATTGACTGATCGTGGTTATGCATGTACCATCACCACAAATGTCTCTTTGTCTAATTTCAACCAGGAATAAACTTTTCTGAGTGCTGTACGGGCTTAGTAGAGTTAATTTGTTTTTTAAATGAGCTTATAAATAAAGTGCTGTACTAATAAAAGGAATAAATCAGAGCAAGAAAATACAGAAAAAGTTTTTTAAAAAAGTAAAAAAAAGAGTGTCAAAAGCTCAATCAAAGTAGTAAGGATATGTCTTACAGGGGGCTTTAAACATGTCAAGTGTTGGTGAGATCCTAATGGTGAAGAGGCAACTGTTCCAAAGTGGAGATGCAACTACAGCAAAAGTCTCATCTGTGCTTTAGTCTGCTTCTCAGAATGTATGCATGTACAGATTTATGTGAAAATTAAACTTTCCTCCACCAACAGAACACAACATCAGCAAACAGAGCAGATGTCTGTTAGCATAATTTATTGCGCAGTGATATATTCAGAGGAGCTACAGCTGTTACCTTGAAAACACGCGCACGCACAAACACACACTCTGTGGAGATGGGGTACTTAAATTAATTTTTCTTCACTCTTGGACTAAAAGTCATCTCATGTGAAGGTTGCAGTTTCCTGGCAGCATGCACATGCACGTGCACACACACAGACAGAGTGAAGTATTGATGGGATCTTTGTGTTCCTGTGTGGAGATGATGTCGTGGCAGACGTAGTAAAGACGATCCCAAACTCTATTGGGGATGTAGCAACTCATAAAAGTGATATAAGCTCCAAGGGGCCGGTCAGCTGGTGCTGCATATATTTATGTACGTTTGTGTGATTGCAAGGCGTTCTTGAACTGCTGACCATGCTGATGAAACGCAGCGAGTGGGCCCGTTGCCACGACAGCAGGCCGTATGTCATTGTGACAACGGGGTCGGGCCAGACTGTGATGGCACTCAGACACACATGCGTGCACACACAAGTTATTAAGACTCTCAAAGAGCATAAATCATAGAAAATATAGAAAAACGCACACGCTGGGAGATAAGGACATCCTTTAGGGCTCAAGACAGTGTGGTGGTGCACTGACTGCTGGGAGTTGGAGTCTTTTGAGAATGAAAAATAGGTCAGAGCAAATAAAACTACAAGAGAGAGAATCTGAGCGTCTCCATCTGCTGTGAGCAAGAGGAAAGATGGTGACTTAGAATGGGTGCCAGCATGAGATGACTACTGGATGTGGATTAATGCATCTGCATAAACAAAATTAGAGAGAAACACTGAAAGAGAAAAGAGAGGATATCTCTGGCTGGAAAGGTCTGAGGGCTACACGATGACTCAAAGTTATCAGTGTCACTCTCGGCAACGGATGTGGCAAGTAAGGAAACGGCATTAGGAGACTTGGTGTGCTTGCACTGATGCTGCTAAAGTGCACCTACGCAGCTGGTGGAAATGGGGACCTACGTAGCAGTTAGCCTGTGATAGCCTCGGTTAGCATGCAGCTGCATGCCAGAGTACAGTTGAGCAGGGGGAGGGGGAGAGCTGCAAGCTTCTGGAGCAAAACACATACAGACACACACTTTCTCAGCAGATAACACCACACATGCACACCAGCATGGACATACTAACACAGCATGAACAAACCAGACTGTTTCTGCAGATGATGTCATTACAGTCATAAAAAAAAAAAAAAAGTGCACATAAACTTAAATATGCCAGCCATCTCTGAAGAACCAGTCACTGGGCTCGGTTATGATTTAGCACTGTCAGACAAAGACAGCATATGCTGCATTAAAGCGAAGTCTCGAGCCTTCGCTTTAAATAAACTTCCTCCCCATGTAGGAAGACACATGCATGCTCAGACAGCATTCAAACTCTAAGACAACAGTCCAGCTTCCGGCCAACTCCGTAAAAATGCACCTACCCTCGTAATTGACAATCACAATGGCCAGCATGTAGTCTTTTCCAAGCATCATAGTTAGCTAGCTGCCTCTCATACAGCAAAACCCAATGCTGTAACCAAAGAGAGAAGCCCAGACAGAGATGGAAAGAGAGAGAAGGAAGCAGAGATCAGAGTGAGGGGGACACCGCAGCAGAGGGGGTGAGGAGACCAAGAAGGGAGGGAGGGAAAAAGAGAGAAAGAGAAAGAGAGAGAGAGGTGGGGGGACAAATCAAGGCAGAGAGGTAGAGAAAACATGACGTGACAAGAGAGGCAGTAGGGGAAAAAAATGGGGAGAAAGAGTGAATGAGAGGGGGAGCAAAAAAAAGGATGGAGAGCCTGCGACTGAGGAAAACAGGAGTGAAAGACAAACATGGAGAATTATACGGGGGGGGGGCGCTGTTTCCCCCTGCAGGCGAGCTGTTTGCAGCTTGTCTCTCCCCTCTCTATCTAGAGCATCAGCCACATCAACAAAAAAACAAAACAAAAGAAAAGAAAAAAAGAAAGCTCTACCCTCCCTTTCCTGTTCAAAGCCAAACATGCAGCCGGGGCACATGGAAGGAGGCTAAAAATGTGGCCCAGTCATCCTTATCGAATTTCTAGGTTTATTATTTTCTCCCTCTTTTTCAGCCTCTCTTGGTTGTCCTGGCAACCTCCAAATCTGCTTTTATTCAGCATCTCATCCAGTGGAGGTGCGAGGACGAGGTGGGTCAGAGAGGTAGAAAGACATGTAACTGTCTCAAACACACTTTGAGCATCACACGTTGCTTTTTGGCACTAATCACCATTCAGTTATACTGTGCTTGAGTTAAGGGACCAACCTGGCCGAACACTGGTGTACATGTAGTTGCCCCCTGCCACCACAGCCAGTAACTGTTTCCTACTTGTCTGGGCAATGGTTGTTGGTCCTTTAGCTTGGCTACTAGCTTGAGTCAGAACAGAGCAGGAACTTTAATTTTGTTTGCTCTTTGTGGTGAACTCCACTGTTCTCCACTGCTGCTCTAATCAGCATTGGTTTTTGGACAGACTGCACAGTTGCATGTCCCAAAATACTTCAAATACCTACACAAACTATCACGACTGCTGTACCATGAAATCTGTTTTACAGCGCAGGATGTTATGTGATAATGTTAGACTTCTATAAATAGGGCTTGAAGGACCCTCTTAGACTCTGTATGCAGAGTGTGTGTGTGTTTTGACACCTCTGTGGGAAAACAGGCTCATACCAGCCCTCTAGCCCACAATCCCCATAGAGGAATCTATCACACTGCTGGGAAAACAACACAGATTTGTCAACGTGAGTTTGACAAAAGCAGATAGGGGGCACTACAGTATGGGCAACTAGGAGTTGGATAGATACACTATACCGCCAAAAGTATTCTCTCATCTGCCTTCACACACACATGAACTTGAGTGAAATCCATTCTTAAATCATAGGGTTTAATATGACGTCAGCTCACCCTTTGCAGCTATAACAGCTTCAACTCTTCTGGGAAGGCTTTCCGGAGGTTTAGGAGTGTATTTCCGGGAATCTTTTCACTATTCTTCCAGAAGCACATTTGTGACACTGAGAAGGCCTGGCTCGCGGTCTCTATTCTAATTCATCCCAAAGGTGTTCTATCAGGTTGAGGTCAGGTCTCTTTGCAGGGCAGTCAAACTCGCTCATCCATGTATTTATGGATCTTGCTTTGTGCACTGGTGTGCAGTCATGTTGGAACAGGAAGGGACCATCATCAAACTGTTCCCACAAAGTTTGGAGCATGAAATTGTCCTAATGCAGTCAGGGAAGTACCGTTATATTGGAAATAGCTAAACCCAGAGTCATGCGTCAGATTGCCAGACAGAGAAGCATGATTCGTCAGTCTAGCAAACACGTCTCCACTGCTCTACAGTGCAGTGGTCGCATGCTTTACACCAGTGCTTGGTGATGTAAGGCTCGGATGCAGCTGCTCATTCATGGAAACTCATTCAATGAAGCTGTCTAGTCACTGTATTTCAGCCAAGCTGAAGCCCACATGAAGTTCAGTGGTCCTGCAACCTCTGCACACTATATGCTTCAGCATCTGCTGACTCCACTTCGTGGCCGAGTTGCTGTCATTCCTAATGGCTTTCACTTCGTTATAATACCACTAACAGCTGACAGTGGAATATTTAGTAGCAAGTACCAGACTTGTTGCACAGGTGGCATCCTGTCATGATAGCATCCTGGAATTCATGTAGTGCCTGAGACCGACCCATTCTTTCACAATGTTTGTATAAGCAGTCTGCATGCCAAGGTGCTTGATTATATAGGCCTGCGGGGATGAAAGTGACATATGCAATTTAACTAGTCATTTGCTTCCTTACTGAGCTCCTCACTACATACATCATGGTCCTGGTTCTCTTTTTTAAATGACATTGCAAATAAGCAAAGATGGATCTGAAAGACAGTTACTTTAGTTTATTAATTTTCTGTATAGAGACAGGTATGCAATATGAACATTGCCATACACGCCAGCATTTATAGCCTTAGCTAATTTGCAATGAACATCCCTAGATGGGCTTTCATAGACAATGAAATCCTGGACAAATGAACACATGAAAATGTAATCCTGAAATCCAGACAGCACGACAGTAAAACTGTAAAAATGCAAGCTGCTGGTAATCCAACTTGTAGAGAAATGAGTTACACAGATGCTCAGAGCTTTCAACTTGAGACTGTGAGTCATCAGAGAGCCAAAAAAAAAAAAAAGCGGCAGCAGTACAACTCACCGACTCAGAAAGACGGCACTGTTTACAGCCGAGACCACAGCCTCTTCTTTCTGTTAATCTGGAGGCTTTGTTTATATGACAAGCTATAAGGAACACTAAAGTGCCCATATGGTTATGTCGCAGGACCAGCTGGTGTTCTGCAGGAGCATGGATGTGTTTTGCTCGTCTTACACTAAACCACAAGTTTTAAGTGCCCAAAGAAAAACTCCATACCCAGATTTTAACATAACGCTGGCAAAGAACAACAGTGAACTGAAGAGACCCGCAGACGTAGCCAACATGCAAATACAAGAAAGCAAGAGACCCGCAACAGATGGAGACTCTCAAACTCTAAATATCACGCAAAAGTTTATCCTCACAGCTTTTTAACAATGAATAATAATAATATTAATAATAGTTCATTAGATGGCAAAACTGAGTAGCTGTTTGCAATCTAAACAATACCATTTTTCCCAGATATTTTATATCTAAAAGGTTTAAACAGAGAAATTATCTACAAAGTAACCAAAGACAGAGAAGAAACATACAGATGTAAAGTAGGGCTACATCTGATTTCTTTTCTATGTCTATATATTAAATATTAGTCAGCGTCATCATTATGCCCATCATTACAGGATGAGAGGAACAGAAATTGAACAACTAAGAATATCTCAGTCACTCTGTGTCTCAGGGTTATTACTTTCTGTATTTTAATTAGTTTTTAAGTCAACTTCTAGAGTGGATGCGCTTCTTTCAGTTACATTTTTATTTAAAATTGTTCAGTATTAGTCTTTATTAGTTTTTATTTTTAAAGTTCAGGATTTGCACACATAGGGAAGGTAATTATTGTAGTTATTAAAACTAAAACTATGTTAGACTAACAGCAGACTACAGCTTTTCTCTTGACCCAGCTTACAGGTTCTTATGGAAAGGTTATCCATTATCTAATATTTGCAGAGACCAGATGCTCGTATTCACAGACATATAATAGTGATGAAGCTCAAGGTAGCTGATCAATACAGACGAATACAGGTGCAACAGGGGAGAGGAAAGCA